GGCACGTCACGCGACCTTTGAACTCGGAGTGTTTTTCATTGCACGTTCTCGCACGTTTTGGTTTCGTGTTTTGCTTTGTACAACGACATCATAAAGCCGTCATGTGACTGAGTTTCTATAGGACACTGTTGATAAGAATCTCAACAGTTTAAGGGTTTTCCTGCAGATTCACTTCGAAACGTTGAACACACAGTCAAACCAACACTTATTCAGACTCCTTCAACATTTCTCACATTATCAGGTTATTCGCTATAGTTTAGGAAATGGTAATAAATATGAGCAGAACTCAGAGTTCTCAGATCAGTGGATATTTGACTGGTTTTGTCCGTCCTTCTGTTAGACTCTCACACATGAATTATGTTGAATATCTGTCAGCTGTTAAATTGAACTACACACTTAGATAATACCAGTTTAGCTCAACCAGTGACCAAGCAATGCTTCATGTTGTTCAGTCTGTGTGTAACAAGAGCATTAGCAATTACAGAAAACACACTTCAGCAAAACATCATCAGCTCAAAGTGGAGGAATAATTATTGGTCCCAAATTTGTATAAATGTTACTGGTAGTCACTGGATGAAGAATATTTGGGTGTAATATGTTTCAGTTTACTTTATTTTGCTCTCCTCACTTACATAAATGAACTATAGTGTCCTGATCACACTAGTAAAGCATATTAATAATGATATCTGGTGTGTGAGTGATGTTTGGTGTGAGTGTATGGCAGAAGTCCCTGAGCTGATGATGATTATCACGTTTATCTCTGGCCGGTTCTCTGTTCTCCAGCTCAGGCTTGCTTGCGTAAAGCAGCTAATATGTGTTTTTCCGCCCGTATCCCACCTGTGCCTTTGAAGTGTGTGTGAGCTGACCTCTGACCTCTGACCTCTGGACCAACATCTGCCTTCAGTGTTTCAGACTGAGGTGAAATGAAACGTGTTGTTTGATGCTCGTAGCAATGAAGAAAACTTTAAAATAGTATATTAAACATTTTATTTTATCTTTTGTAGTTGTTTTGGAAGAATTGGGAAAACGCAATGATATAAACATTCACTGATGCATAACTTTTGCACGATATGAATCACTCACTCACTCACACACACACACACACACACTCACACACACACACACACACACTCACTCACTCACTCACTCACACTCACTCACACACACACACTCACTCACTCACACACACACACACACACACACTCACACTCACTCACTCACTCACTCACTCACACTCACACACTCACTCACTCACACACACACACACACACACACACACACACTCACTCACTCACTCTCACACACACACACTCACTCACACACACTCACACACTCACTCACTCACTCACTCACACACAGACACACACAAACACTCACTCACTCACTCACACACACACACACACACACACTCACTCACTCACTCACTCACACACAGACACACACACAAACACTCACTCGCACACACACACACACACACACTTACTCACTCACTCGCACAAACACATACACACACACACACACACACTCACTCACTCACTCACACACACACACACACACACAAACACTCACTCACTCACTCGCACAAACACTCACTCACTCACACACACACAAACACTCACTCACTCACTCACACACACACACACACAAACACTCACTCACTCACACACACACACAAACACTCACTCACTCACTCACACACACACACACACACACACTCACTCACTCACTCACTCACACACAGACACACACACAAACACTCACTCGCACACACACACACACACACACTTACTCACTCACTCGCACAAACACATACACACACACACACACACACTCACTCACTCACACACACACACACACACACAAACACTCACTCACTCACTCGCACAAACACTCACTCACTCACACACACACAAACACTCACTCACTCACTCACACACACACACACACAAACACTCACTCACTCACACACACACACAAACACTCACTCACTCACTCGCACAAACACATACACACAGACACACACAAACACTCACTCGCACACACACACACACACACTCACTCACTCACACAGACACACACACAAACACTCACTCACTCACTCACTCGCACATACACACACACACACACACACAGTTGAGTTCTATATTAATGTGCTGTGCATTGATCTCAGATTGTTTTGTTGCTAAGCAACCACACAGCCTATAGTGAACTACATCACTTGGCAGAAGAAATGTTTATTAGGATTATCGGGTTTATTCTGCATGTCATGAATGATGTATTGATCGTGGGTTGGGCTCCAGCCACTGGTTTATAACAGCAGTTACAGCGAGTCAGGTGTTGCAGTAAAACTCACGAGTGTCTGAATGTTTCTGAACAGGAACACACACACACACACTCTCTCTGATGCCGGTGTGTTTTCCGCAGGGACTCCGGTGAACCGGATCCCCATCATGGCGAAGCAGGTCCTGGATCTGTTCATGCTGTATAAACTGGTGACGGAGAAAGGCGGACTGGTGGAGGTCATCAACAAGAAGATCTGGAGAGAGATCACCAAGGGTCTGAACCTGCCCACCTCCATCACCAGCGCCGCCTTCACGCTGCGCACGCAGTACGACACACACACACACACACCATACACACACTCACTTTCTCTATCGCTCTCTCTCTCTAAATATGTATGGATATGTGACCCTGGAGCACAAAACCAGTCACACGGGTCAATTTTTTTAAATTGAGATTCATACATCATCTGACAGTTGAATAAATAAGCGTTTCATTGATGTATGGTTTGATAGGATAGGACAATATTTGGCTGAGATACGACTATTGAAGATCTGGAATCTGAGGGTGCAAAAAAATCGAAACATTGAGAAAATCTCCTTTAAAGTTGTGCATTTATGTTCACGATTTTGCTGCATCCACTCACAGAAATATTTTTTATATATATTTACGGTAGGAAATTTACAAAATATCTTCATGGAACACGATCTTTACTTAACATCCTAATGACTTTTGGCATAAAAGAAAAATTGATAATTTTGACCCATATAGTGTATTGTTGGCAATTTGCCACAGAAACACCCGTGCGACTCGAGGTCCAGGGTCACATATAAGGTGAAACTCGAAAAATATGAATATCGTGCAAAAGTTCATTTATTTCACTAATTCAACTTAAAAGGTGAAACTAATATATTATATAGACTCATTACATGCAAAATGAGATATTTCAAGCCTTTATTTGTTATAATTTTGATGATTATGGCTTACAGCTTATGAAAACCCCCCCAAAAAAACCTGCATAAGCTGTAAGCCATAATCATCAAAATTACAACAAATAAACACATCACACACCTCTCTCTCTCTCTCTCTCTCTCTCTCTCTCTCTCTCTCTCTCTCTCTCTCTCTCTCTCTCTCTCTCTCTCCTCATCCGATTCTGCCTCACACTAATTAGCTTGAGGTGAAAGATATATTGATATATTGATTTGATTTGGTAGCTTTAGTGTGGGGGTGGAAACAGGAGCATCCTCTCGATCTCTCTTTAATTGGATCTGTGCTCACAAAATATATATTCTGTGTAAACACACACTTTAACACACACACACACACACACACACACATATATATATTTATATACACACATACGCACACATTAACACACACATATACAGGTGCAATCAAAGTTATTCAACCCCCATTGCAAATCAGGTTTATTGGCAAAATTTACAGACTTTCAGCTGTTTGCAATGAACAAATCAAACAAAAGTAATTGAAACACAACAAATGTTTCAAGTGGTTTTCCCAAATGTAACTGAAAATGCAACTTTTAATGACTTCTGGAGTTTCATTATTATTCAACCCCCTGAATAGAATACCTCACAACAGCACAAATCTGCAAAAAAGGTGTTGTCTCACTAATCAAGGGCTTCATTAGTTGCACCAGGTGTGCTTGAGCTAGAACACACGAACAATCTGAACTGGCTAAGTTTGTAGAGTGTCACGTTTGACTGCAAGTTACAAATATGGCTAAGTCAAAAGAATGGTCCAAAAGGTTAAGAGAAGATTTCATCCCCCTTCACAAACAAGGAACAGGATACAGAAAGATAGCGAAGGCACTAAATGTTCCTAGAGACACCGTTGGACGCATATTTTGCGAGTTCAAAGTTAAAGTAACAGTGGTAAAACTACCTGGACGGGACAGAAAAAGGAAGCTATCAACGGCTGCAACTAGATTTGAGGAAAACCCTCAAAATGACTGCAAAAGACCTTCAGCAAGACTTGATGGCAACAGGCACTGATGTTTCAACTTGAACAGCAAGGCTCGTACTAAACGCAAGCCAGAACCACCACTACTGACCCAAAAGCACAAGAAAAGTCGGCTCCAATTTGCTCAAAATCATTTAAATAAGCCATAGAAGTTTTGGGATTCTTTAATGTGGAGCGATGAAACAAAACGGGAACTTTTCGGCCCTATGGATCAGCGGTGTGTCTGGAGGAAGATTTACGTCCTCCGGCTCTGGAAACCTGCAGCGTGTGGAAGACTAGACGATACATTGAAGTATCAGGAAATCCTTGGAGAAAACGTCATGCCGTCAGAGAGGAAGCTGAAGCTTGGACCTTCAACAGGACAATGATCCCAAGCATACCTCAGATTCCAGCAATGCTTGGTTGCAGAAGAAGCCCTGGGAGATACAGTGGCATCTCAGCCTCCTGACTCGAGCCTCTGGAGGGATTTGAAGAAGGCGGAATATCCCTGAACTGGAGGCCGTTGCTCTTGAGGAACGGGCTCGGATCGCTCAGAAGCTGCTGTCTGGCTCTACATCTCGTCTGCAGCAGCTCATACAGCAAACCGCTGTTCTGCAAGTACTAACCATGCTTGCCATGATGGGGGTGAATAATTTTGAGACTGCAGAAGTCATTAAAAGTTGCATTTTCAGTTGAATGTGGGGAAACCACTCGAAACATTTGTTGTGTTGAGCTATTTCAATTACTTTTGATTTGTTCATTGCAAACAGCTGAAAGTCTGTACATTTTGCACAAAAAAAAACTTGATTTGCAATGGGGGTTGAATAATTGTATAATAATATTGAATAGTTGAATAGCATATATATATAAGAAAGAGAGAGAGTTTTACACACACTTTATTCATTTATTAAGATGGATTGTATTTATTTATTTACTATGCTACATATGACATGATCTATACATATGTTTTGTTTGGTTGTTTCTTTGTTTTATTATGCTAATTTTTAGTATGTCATGCTAAAAATGCTCTATTGAAATTGAAAAATTTCGGTTTCATCAGTGTCTGCTCATTAGTTGTGTTTAGTAGTGTTGATGTCCGTCTCTCTCTCTCTCTCTCTCTCTCTCTCTCTCTCTCTCTCTCTCTCTCTCTCTCTCTCTCTCTCTCTCTCTCTCTCTCTCTCAGGTATATGAAGTACCTGTATCCGTACGAGTGTGAGCGGAAGGCGTTGAGTTCTCCCGGTGAGCTCCAGGCCGCCATCGACAGCAACCGGCGCGAAGGCCGTCGGCCCAGTTACAGCAACAGCCTGTTCCGCTTTAGCTCCGGCTCCGCCCCCCACATCATGACCCCTCCCAAGATGCATCTGTCGGCATTCGGGGCCCTGAACGGACTCCCAGGACCGTCTCTGAAGAAGGGACTGGGTGAGTTGAGTGAACATGCCCTTTTCACAAGATGTAAAATAAGTCTCTGATGTCCCCAGAGTGTGTGTGTGTGAAGTTTTAGCCCAAATACCCCACAGATATTTTTATAGCATGTTAAAATCGTCACTTTTTGAGGGCGAGTAAAAAAAAACGCCGTTTTTGTGTGTGTCCCTTTAAATGCAAATGAGCTGCTGCTCCCGGCGCTGAGGGAGGAGGTTCAAGAGCTTGTGTGTGTGTGTGTGTAACATAAAACGCAATTTTTTTTTAAATGTTCAGTGTTGTGTGTGTGTGAGGTAATCAGAGCTAATCACACACACACACACACACACTGAACATTTCAAAAACTTTTAGCGTTTTATGTTCAAACCTGAGTCAGACAAAGATGGAGAAACTCTAGAAGTGACAACATGAAGAGCAACAGGACATTTCTGAATGCTTAGTTGATGGATTTATGTATCTGATGTGGAGTTAACTCTGTTCTAGTCATTGATTAGCATATTCTGTCATGATAATCTATAAATTTGCCTTTGGCTAAGCCACACCCTAGAATGTAGATTGACCAATCACAGCGCAGCCAAGAACGAGCTCCCACAGTGGTCCGACACTTTTTCACAGCGCTCCATTGACTTTAACACAGGCGTGTCATATTTTTGGTCTCGACCTGCTATTACCGTCGTAGTTTTATCAAAAAATATGGTTAAACGTTGTGCCTGGGGCATTTGTAACACAGATACGCATTTCCCAGAGAGGTTGGAGGGGGGTGTCCGTTTTTTTCCCTTCCCAAAACCGAAGTCAAATCCTGACAAGTGTCGTCTAGCACAGGGGTTCTCAACCTTTTACAACTCATGGCCCACCAATGACTATTTAAAAACATTCCAAGGACCACCTTTCCAAATATGATAGTATGAACACAGAATAACAGATCATTCAAAAAGTGCAATGATATACTCTGCTGTTAATCTGTTATGCCACTGTAGCAGACTAGGTCAAGTCAGCTATATAGATGAAAACTGTCTATAAAAACGACTCGGCAGGTTTACTCAGTAACCATTCTTGTTGTAACAATAACAGGCACAATGGGTCAGACACACAAGAGGGGGACATTCACTCTATTCATTAGCAGAAATGTTCATTCACCCCAATTTACATAGGCCTAGTGTAAGTATAATTTATCAAATACAATTAGCGATATTAACATGACTGTTTAAAACAATATTCGTTTGGCTTCCCAACACAGTTTTGAGGTCAAATGTTTCTGCAGCTTTGATGTTTTTTTTTAGCGCTTCATTTGACACGTTTCTCCACATTCAACACACTGTGCCTTCGGCTTAAGGGGGTCGCACACCGGACGAGAGGCTTTAAAATTCGAACACATTATTTTCTATGAGTGTGTGTACACACCGGCAGCGCCATTCGGCGACTGTCCGCGGCACCCAGCTACGGCTCAGGACCCTGTTCAAAATCCTGCCGTGCCACCGAGCCCCATTTACACTGACTTAAGATAGATACAAGATACATTTAGTTTTAGTTTTACATTAATTTACAGAAATCAGCTGCGTGGATGAAAATTATCGGATTTTCAGGTGAGATTCTCAATTAATTCAGTTAATGTACGTCTTGAGGTAAAGTGTTCTGCAGCAGACTCAGCAACGGTTGTATTTAATTGTAGCTACAATACAATCATAATAGTAGGCTACAGATATTATCTTAATTTAATAATGTCCTTAAACATAACAATATTGCTGGCCATAAACTGAGAAAGTGCACGTCTGGTGTGTGATACCTTGTCCTAGCTCCTAGGGGCAATTTACACCTGGCCACTTTAAACTGTGTTCGGAT